CATCAACTGACTCCTGCTGTCATGTCCCCTCTTATTTCTCTTATTTTGGTCCTCCAGGGCAGATTGTCATCCTTGTTCTGAAATTCTATTATTATCTGGCTCCTGCCATAATATTCTGTCATCCAAGCCTCCATCATGGATATTGTCACCCTTCCTCTGAAATCCTGCCATCACCTGGCTTCTACTATCATAACCTTCTCGTTTTGGACCTTCGGTGGAGAGATAGTCATCCTGCTTCTGAAATTTTACTATCATCTGGTTCCTGCTATCATACCTCCTCTCAATTCAGGCCCCCATTGTGGAGGTTGTCATCCTTCCTCTGAAATGTTGTCATCATCCAACTCCTGCTATCATACCCCATCTCATTTTGGGTTGTGGAGGTTATCATTCATCATCTGAAATCCTGTCATCATCTGGCTCCTATCATACCCCCTCTCATTTTTGGACCTCCAGTTTTGAGGTTGTCCTACTTCTTCTGAAATCCTGCCATTATCCAGCTCCTATCATACTCCATCTCATTTTAGACCTCCAGTTTGGAGGTTATCATCCTTCATCTGAAATCCTGGCATCACCTGGCTCCTATCATACCCCCTCTCATTTTGGGACTCCAATTGGGAGGCTGCCATCCTTCTTCTGGTATCCTGCCATCATCTGGCTCCTATCATACCCTCTCTCATTTTTGGACCTTCAGTTTGGAGGTTGTCCTAATTCTTTGGAAATCCCGCTATTACCTAGCTCCTATCATACTCCATCTCATTTTAGACCTCCAATTTGGAGGTTGTCATCCTTTTTCGGGAATCCTGTCATCATCTGGCTCCTATCATACTCCATCTCATTTTAGGCCTTCAGTTTGGAGGTTGTCATCCTTCTTCGGGAATCCTGGCATCATCTGGCTCCTATCCAGGGGTGGACTGACAACTCATGGGGCCCCCAAGCAATAGGGGATCATGGGGCCCCTGTGTCCTTAACCACACTCTCAAAAAAAAGCCTATAAAAAGGTACCAGGGGCATTTCATGGGGCCCCCTACTGACCCTGAGCCCTCGGGCAGTGCCCGAATTCTCGAATGGTCAGTCCGCCCCTGCTCCTATCATACTCAATCTCATTTCAGATCTCTAATTTGGAGGTTGTCATCCTTCTTCTGGAATCCTGTCATCATCTGGCTCCTATCATACTCCATCTCATTTTAGGCCTTCAGTTTGGAGGTTGCCTTACTTCTTCTGAAATCCCGCCATTACCTAGCTCCTATCATACTCCATGTCATTTTAGACCTTCAATTTGGAGGTTGTCATCCTTCTTCTGGAATCCTGTCGTCATCTGGCTCCTATCATACGCCATCTCATTTCAGATCTCCAATGTGGAGGTTGTCTTCCTTCTTCTGGAATAGTGTCATCATCTGGCTCCTATCATACACCATCTCATTTTAGACCTCCAATTTGGAGGTTGTCATCCTTCTTCTGGAATCCTGTCGTCATCTGGCTCCTATCATACGCCATCTCATTTCAGATCTCCAATTTAGAGGTTGTCTTCCTTCTTCTGGAATATTGTCATCATCTGGCTCCTATCATACACCATCTCATTTTAGGCCTTCAGTTTGGAGGTTGTCATCCTTCTTCGGGAATCCTGTCATCATCTGGCTCCTATCATACCCCCTCTCATTTTGGGACTCCAATTGGGAGGCTGTCATCCTTCTTCTGGTATCCTGCCATCATCTGGCTCCTATCATACCCCCTCTCATTTTTGGACCTTCAGTTTGGAGGTTGTCCTACTTCTTCTGAAATCCCGCCATTACCTAGCTCCTATCATACTCCATCTCATTTTAGAACTCCAATTTGGAGGTTGTCATCCTTCTTCAGGAATCCTGTCGTCATCTGGCTCCTATCATACTCAATCTCATTTTAGATCTCCAATTTGGAGGTTGTCATCCTTCTTCCCGGAATCCTGCCATCACCTGGCTCCTATCATACCTCCTCTCATTTTAGGCCTTCAGTTTGGAGGTTGTCCTACTTCTTCTGAAATCCGACCGTCCTCTGGCTCCACTCTCTGTGCCATACTTTGGGTTGCTGAAAGATGTAAACTTTTGATTTGATTGTTTTCTTGGCCTATATAAGTGACACCTTGGTGTAGCCGATATTTCCCAGTTTTGTCGCCGTGTATCCCCCCCCCTTCCATTTGCATCAATAAACGCGGTATACAGGCAGATGGCGATGTGAGTGTGCATACGAGAGACAGACTCGCAGATTATTCTGTAGTTAAAAGTAATCGCTGGCAGTTATATTTATAGGGGTTATAAATAGACCGAGACGCGCATCAGACCGAGGAGGCTGCGAACGGGGCTGCACAGAATGTACAAAGCTGACCCAGATTTAGGAACCTACGCGATTCGCAGACGAGAGACAATTCCCTCTTTGCAGGGTCTTGATGAGTTTAGCTCAGGACTTTCATACGACCCTTCCCTTAAAGGGATACTCCACCAATTCCATTCCATTAAATGCGCCACTTGGCTTCATCATAGTGATGGCCTAAATCACGGCTATCAAACTGGTGGCCCTCCAAACTACAAGTCCCATGAGGCATTGCAAGATTGACAGTTACAAGCATGACTCCCAAAGGCAGAGGCATGATGGGACTTGTAGTTTCGCAACAGCTGGAGGGCCTCCAGTTTGACACCCCTGCTCTATAGACGTAAGGGTCGATTTACTAAGACTGGGGGGTGCAAAATCTGGTGCAGCGCTGCATAGTAACCAATCACCTTTCAGGTTTTATTGTCATAGCCTAATTGAACAAGCTGAAGTTGGAAGCTGATTGGCTCCCATGCACAGCTGACCCAGATTTAGGAGCCTACGTGATTCGCAGACGAGAGACAATTCCCCCTTTGCAGAGTCTTGATGAGTTTAGCTCAGGACTTTCATACGACCCTTCCCTTAAAGGGATACTCCACCAATTCCATTCCATTAAATGCGCCACTTGGCTTCATCATAGTGATGGCCTAAATCACGGCTATCAAACTGGTGGCCCTCCAAACTACAAGTCCCATGAGGCATTGCAAGATTGACAGTTACAAGCATGACTCCCAAAGGCAGAGGCATGATGGGACTTGTAGTTTCGCAACAGCTGGAGGGCCTCCAGTTTGACACCCCTGCTCTATAGACGTAAGGGTTGATTTACTAAGACTGGGGGGTGCAAAATCTGGTGCAGCGCTGCATAGTAACCAATCCCCTTCCGGGTTTTATTGTCAAAGCCTAATTGAACGAGCTGAAGTTGGAAGCTGATTGGCTCCCATGCACAGCTGACCCAGATTTAGGAGCCTACGCGATTCGCAGACGAGAGACAATTCCCCCTTTGCAGGGTCTTGACGAGTTTAGCTCAGGACTTTCATACGACCCTTCCCTTAAAGGGATACTCCACCAGTTCCATTCCATTAAATGCGCCACTTGGCTTCATCATAGCGATGGCCTAAATCACGGCTATCAAACTGGCGGCCCTCCAGCTGTTGCCAAACTACAAGTCCCATGAGGCATTGCAAGATTGACAGTTACAAGCATGGCTCCCAAAGGCAGAGGCATGATGGGACTTGTAGTTTCGCAACAGCTGGAGGGCCACCAGTTTGCCACCCCTGGTCTACATTTATGGTACAGTCACGGCTTGTACCAGGTGGACTGGACTGGTAATTGCACCCAGAACAAATCTTGCAGGCTTGCTTTAGTTTCAAAATGGCGGCCCTTCAGCCGTTGCCAAACTACAAGTCCCATGAAGCATTGCAAGATTGACAGTTACAAGCATGACTCCCAAAGGCAGAGGCATGATGGGACTTGTAGTTTCATTTTCGTAACAGCTGGAGGGCCACCAGTTTGACAAAGCTGCTCTATAGCCATAAGGGTCGATTTACTAAGACTGAAGGGTGCAAAATCTGGTGCAGCGCTGCATAGTAACCAATCAGCTTCCAGGTTTTATTGTCAAAGCCTAATTGAACGAGCTGAAGTTGGAAGCTGATTGGCTGCCATGCACAGCTGCCCCAGATTTTGCACTCTCCAGGTTTTAGTAAATCAGCCCCGTAGTGTTCTCTTTTTCTGCTGATGTGCCCTTTAAATTTAAATGCTGGAAACAATTCAATAGTTTCCGGATCATGTGATCGCTGTGATTGGCTGTTCCAATGATAACCGGGAGCCCGTCCTACTGACTCTTGAGTCCTCAGCTGTGTTAAGTCATGTTAAGGGCTCATGAACCTTTTGTACCACTAGCCCCTCCCTCTTAGATTGTAAGCTCCAAGGATCAGGGCCCTCCTATCCCTCTTGTATTGAACTGTATTGTTGCTGTATTGTAAAGCGCTGAGCAAACTGTTGGCGCTATATAAATCCTGTATAATAATAATATAATAATTGGCCAATCAGTGATCACATGATCAGGACCTCATACAGAGGTCACCTTCAGCGACCGGTGTTCCGCTGTTCCCAGGGAGCGTGCACAATCCAAAATGGCGGGCGCCGTTTATGAACAGCAACCCGCTCCTGCACTGCCACCGTCGGGCCGTTTATATACAGCGTCCGGATTGGAAATGGTTACAGAGGTTGCTGTGATGCTTTCAGGAAGCACCCTGGCAGCCCCTCCCACCAGCCATGACCTGCCTGTATTGCATAGAGAAGCACAGAGACCCAGTTATGATGTCACTGGGTCTAAAATAAGGTATGTATAGAAAATGGAAAGGTTTTATTTAAAAAGGTAATCAGCAGGAAGGAAAAAATATAAGCAGACGTTGCAAGGTAAGCCTGCTAGCCATGTATTTGGGAGCTCAGATAGCTTAGTTAGGAGCCGCGCTTTGTAGAGGTGCCTTGACCCATACCAAAAAAAAAATCAGTTTTACAATTTTTAAAAAATATAACTAAAGCCAAAACTGAGCCCCTCCCCTATGCGTTACACCACTGGGTCATGTGGCTTCATCAGGGGACAGCCACATGACCCAGTGGCGTAACGTGTAGGGGAGGGTCTGTGACGTCACAACGCTTAAAGGCAACACACAGCAAGTATACTACAGATTACAAATGCACACTGTGGATTGATTTTACAGGCATCTCCCTCCTTTTTTCTCTCCACCAGGGGCGGACTGACCATTTGGAAACTCGGGCACTGCCCGAGTGCCCGGGGTCAGTAGGGGGCCCCATGAGATGCCCCATGGTACCTTTTTCATAGTCTTTTTTTGAGTTTGGGCAAGGACACAGGGGCCCCATGATCCCCTATTGCCCGGGGGCCCCATGAGTTGTCAGTCCACCCCTGTCCTTACGGCAGACGAAATTGAGCAAAATGCTGGAAAACGTCAATTTTTTATCAACTACTCCTTCTGTATACAAAGAGAGACGAAAAAGTAGCGACCCAACAGATTGGATCCCTCACCACCTGTCGTTTTCGGCGCACCTTAAAAGGACTGCTACAAATTCTGAATCCCACCCCTCCCACTGTATTTTTTTTGTCCCTTTTTTTTTGCCTTTTTTTTTTTTTGTTCCAAAAAACGTTTCTTCGCCTGTCTGTGCTCAGATCCGTATCTGTATACCGAAGACGTCTCCCCCATTCTGTTTTATTGTAAAAGCTGGCTTCTCGATTGTATTTTTTTTCTTAGCCATCCGTAACGCTGCAGCATTGACGGGGTTACTGTCCTACGAAAAAAAAAAAACAAAAAACGGTTTGGATATGCACCTTGCTTTTCTATTGTGGCTGGTCTTCTGCCCGTTTTTTTTTTTTTTGTATGTTCTCCTAATACTTGTTCCGTGTTCCGTTTAATTATTGCCTTTCCTTCGTGGTTTAATAACGTCTCGCTATCCCGATGTCTTGCCCGCTGTGCCACTCCTTGCAGTCTGTGCCAGTCTGCTGTCTGTGTGTCTCCTTTTTTTTTTTTTTTTTTTTTTTTTTTTTTCCTTTCTTGACTCATTTTCTTTTCTTTTTTTTTTTTTTTTTTTTTTTTAGCTCTTACAATCGGGCCTGTCCCCTTTTCCCTCTTTGTAACCACAGAAACCTGCCTGCGTTTTTCTCTGTAGACAGGTCCAGCAAACGCGCCGGGCCTTTTCGATACTGCTCGCAAAGCCCAGCCCTCTGCGGGCCGTGCCAGGTGGACGCCATTTCAGAGCTCCCTGAATCCCGAGCCGCACAAGATGGTGGCACCCCTCCAACTGCAGCATGGGAGCAGCTGCAGGGAGCCGTCACTGTGCCCATTCTCCACAAAGCTCTGTGTTAGGCCTCGGTGAAGACTCCGGTCCCAACAAGGTTACAAAAAAATAAAAGTAAGGCATATTAGAGAGGAGACAACAGGCAGTACGGCTGTATTCGTTTAATAGATGTTCACTTTGCTACATGTTTACTATGAAAGATTTGTATAATGTTGAAATAAAGGTGGGTGGCAGGAGCGATACCTTGCGTTTTTCCGTAAACTGCATAGAGGGAACGTAATTGGTACCACAGGTCTTGGGTGCAAGGCTCACATTGGCACCAATAATGGTCATACTTAAAGGACTACCTAAAGCTAACTCCCTAAAAGGTTTGGAATAACACAAGTGCCAGGGTAAGGTCATCCATTGTCATAGTAAAAGATGCCAAACTGCGTCCTTCTTCTCACCATGGGTGTTGGGTGCAAGGCTCACATTGGCACCAATACAGGTCATACTTAAAGGACCACCTAAAAACTCCCTAAAAGGTTTGGAGTAACACCATTGCCAGGGTAAGGTCATCCATTGTCATAGTAAAAGATGCCAAACTGCGTCCTTCTTCTCACCATGGGTGTTGGGTGCAAGGCTCACATTGGCACCAATAATGGTCATACTTAAAGGACCACTTAAAGCTTACTACCTAAAGGGTTTGGAGTAACACTAGTGCCAGGGTAAGGTCATCCATTGTCATAGTAAAAGAGGCCAAATTGTGTCCCTCTTCTCACCATGGGTGTTGGGTGCAAGGCTCACATTGGCACCAATAATGGTCATACTTAAAGGATCACCTAAAGCTAACTACCTAAAAGGTTTGGAGTAACACCAGTGCCAGGGTAAGGTCATCCATTGTCATAGTAAAAGATGCCAAACTGCGTCCTTCTTCTCACCATGGGTGTTGGGTGCAAGGCTCACATTGGCACCAATAATGGTCATACTTAAAGGACCACTTAAAGCTTACTACCTAAAGGGTTTGGAGTAACACTAGTGCCAGGGTAAGGTCATCCATTGTCATAGTAAAAGAGGCCAAATTGTGTCCATCTTCTCACCATGGGTCTTGGGTGCAAGGCTCACATTGGCACCAATACAGGTCATGCTTAAAGGACCACCTAAAAACTCCCTAAAGGGTTCGGAGTAACACCAGTGCTAGGGTAAGGTCATCCATTGTCATAGTAAAAGATGCCAAACTGCGTCCCTCTTCTCACCACTGGTCTTGGGTGCAAGACCCACTTTAACATCAATATTGGTCATACTTAAAAGACCACTTGTTATTTAGATAACATCAGTGCCAGGGCAAGGTCATATTCAGTGCCAAACTGTGTCCTGGTCTTGGGTGCAAGGCCCACTTTTGCACCAATCCTGGTCAAACTTAAAGGACCATATAATCCCAACGCTAAAAAGGTTTTGGAATACACATTAGTGCCAGGTAAAAAAGAGCATCCAGTGCCCTGGGCGAAAGATGCCGAACTGCATCCCCCATCTCCCCACTGGTTTCAGTGGGTGGGTGCAAGGCCCACTTTGGCATCAATACTGGTCATACCTTAAAGGACCATGTAAAACCTAACTCCCAAAATGGTTTTGGGATAACATTAGTGCCAGGGCAAGCTCATTCAGTGCCCCGGGTGAAGATGAAAAAACTGTGTCCCCCCATTCCCCATGGGTTTGGGTGCAAGGCCCACTTTGGCACCAATACTGATCATACTTAAAGGACCAAGCAAACCTAACTCCCAAAAGGGTTTGGAATAACATCAGTGCCAGGCAGGGGCGGAATGAAAATTCATGGGGCCCCCGGGCAATAGGGGATCATGGGGCCCCTGTGTCCTTGCCCAAACTCAAAAAAGCCTATGAAAAAGGTACCAGGGGCATCTCATGGGGCCCCCTACTGACCCCCGGGCCCTCCGGCAGTGCCCGAGTTTCCAAATGGTCAGTCCGCCCCTGGTTAGGAGGGCAAGGTCAAGATACCAAACTGTATCCCCCCCCCCCAGGTGCTTGCCTGATCACAGTTGCCAAACTGCCCCCCCCCTGGGGTGCACCCATTCATCTACTGCAGCTAGGATCCTATTACTAGTTGCCACTGCTCTCGTCTCTGCATCCTTGCACAGGTCCGGGTCCACCAGTAGGGTTTCATATGGATCTGGAAGTGCACAGTAGTATCATGGAATCTTCCTGCTGGCTGTTCGCACCGGTCTCCATGCACTGATTGTAAAAAGATCAGGAATGAGCAGAGACAAGATCAAAATGCACCCCCCACATCAAAAAACACTGTGCCCAGGGCAACTTCAAATCCTGTTCCCCATCCCCAACCCTCCACCTGAAAACACTGTGCCCAGGGAAGCTCC